AAAAAAAAAAAAGAAAAAAAAAGAAAAGAAAAAAAGAAACAAAACAAAGAAACAAAAGTACACGTTTTGTCAGCCAAATGGCTTGTATAGCAATACTGCAATTTTAAGTAAACTAAAACCATGTGCTGAAACACTCACTCTTTATCCTTACAGAATAATTATTTCAGTGTCCATAAGCTTGGGCGAGGAAATCTCAGTGGAGCTCCGACAGACTGTCCAAAGAAGAACTCAGATACCAGCCCTCGAAGTGGACGGGAAGCAGCATTACGTAGAAGCTTCTCAAGTTCTTCCAGAAGGTCATGGCTCAGAAGGACAAGGCTCACTAGGTCAAGTTGTAGGAGGTCACGGTGTAGGAGGTCACGGTGTAGGCGGCCACGGCTCAGTGGGTAAGAGAGTGGTTGGCTTGTGCTCTCGTGTGTTTTGGTCCTTTTTTTACCGTCAAACATGTATCGCCTATTTTTTTCTTCTTTTCTTGTTACTGTCATGTTACACCACTGATCCTAGGTCTTTATGTGGCGTATTTGTGCTTTAAGTGCTGTAAAACTTTAATCAATTAATATTTGTTGTTGGTTTTTTTTACCCAGAAAAAAACTTAAGTAAGTGACGGCTCATAAGGTAAGTAATAGCGCTTTAGGTAAGTCAGGGCTCAGTAGGTCACAGCTCAGTAGGTCATTGCTCAGTACACAGAGCTTAGTTGGTCACGTATTAGTAAGTAGGTAGCGGGTATGTAGGTACGTCGTTGCTAAAAAAGTCATGGCTTAGGATGTCAGGGCGAAGTAGGCCACGTCTCGGTCACAGAAAGTTTGCCAGTGTTTTGTAAGAGTGATCGATGGTGCTGTGCCAGCGTCTACAGCCTGGCGATTATGCGCTCTGTTGTCGTACACAGAAGACGTGAGTTCGATTCTAGTGTAGGGAGTCTCTCCATATATCTTCTGAGATTTTTTATCCCTTTACATTTCATTGCCTTTTTCACCCTACACCAGTGTTTAGGCCACGAACATACACTTTCCACACATCTCTATCCTGGGCTTATCTCTTTTTATTTATTATTCTATATCTTTCTACTTTTCTGTACTTCACTTGAGAATTTATTCCTGCTTCATACAAGGTGCGAACATTCCATGACGCAATCCAGAGAGACTTGTTCAACAGAGAAGGTCTCTGGTAAGGACAGTCAATTCGACTTCGGTCACTGTTTTTCATGTTTCCTGCTGATCCCGATACTCCTCGGTCTCCCAAGATTTAAAAAAATAAATAAATAAATAAATAGCGTGTTTTGTCCGTATTTCTATAACTTTAAGTTTTAACATGGTCGGGCAGATGACCATCTAGCGCACAATATGGTTTCAAAATTAATTAACATGAACATAAACATGAACATTATAGCTTGGATTCTTGAGTTCTTAACCTATCGACCTCAAAATGTAAAATTAAAATGGTGTAGAATCCGACCTAATATTCACGAACAAGGGTGCGCCCCAAGGCTGTGTAATCTCCCCTGTCTTGTTTACGCTAATACACCAACGACTATACTTTTGATAACAAAAACATCAAACTAATAAAATTGTGGATGATTCCTCTCTACAAGGCCTTATAACAACAAATGAGAATGAATACAGGGACGCTGTAAATCTATTTACAAATTGGTGGGATAACCACTTCCTTTTACTAACTGTAAGAAAGACAAAGGGATTAATAATAGATTTTAGAGTAAAAAAAGACCAATTGCAACCACTGTTTATTAAAGATGAAGAGGTGGAGGTGGTAAGCTCTTACAAATATCTTGATGTAACAATCGACAACAAACTTGACTGGCATCCCCACGCTTCTCTTGTGCATAAAAAAGTAAATCAAAGAATGTTTCTTTTCAGGAAATTAAGGAGTTTCAGTGTTGACAATAAGATTATGTCCCTTTATTACCATTCTATGCTTGAAAGTGTATTTTTATTTTGTATTTGCTGCTTGGGTGGGAATTGTAAGGTGAAAGATAAAGAAAACTTTGACAGAACCATTAAGAAAGCCAGCAAGATCTCTGGATAGAATGGATGAAATGTATAAAACCACATGTATAAAAAAAGATAAAAAGCATTATAAACGACCCATCATACACCTTTTCCACACAAATTGTAAGATCACGCAGCGGCCGATATGTACCTCCAAAAACAAAGAAAGAAAGAAAGATATAAAAGAAGTTTTTTACCACCTAGCATAAGGCTTTTGCCAGAATGAGCATGGATGTGTGTTGCTCTTAGAATATGTATCTATATATAACTCCAAAGGTCTAGTATTTAAATTCCAGCTTATGGTTGAATGATGCATTTGATGTAAATGTACATTTTGTCAGCGTTACTTCTCTGTTCATATTGAATTTTAATGAGAGTAATATACAATTTTAAAAAAATGTATACCTGCATGTGTTTTTACGGTCCTGTATAGCCAAGGAAAATTTCCCTCTGGGATAATAAAGTGCTATCTTGTCTTATCTTATCTTATCTATGTTTTTATCTGTGTTGCCTGTTCCTGCACTGGTGCCATGCTTCGCTCTGGGATTTGAGAAAAAAAATATAATTATGTTGTATGTGTATGCTTTTCTTTGTGAGTGTGCATATCTGCGTATGAGTTTGTTTGTAAGTGTGTGTGTGTGTGTGTGTGTG